ACCGAGTTTCTTTCAGGCAGACCGTGATGAGAGCGACGTTCTGTGAAGGACCTGCAACATGATGATGATGAGTAAAAAAAAATACCGATGATACTGCAAATTTTAAACAAAAGTTATAATGAATAAATGAGACAATTACAATGTTTTTCTGTTTTAAAAGTCATAACACTTTAATGTAAACAATAATGGAGGGAAACGCCGAAGGCAGGCAAGCAAGAGGCATATGGTGATACTGAGCAAGAAGGGACATAACACAACACGTTAAAAAAAAAAAAAATGTTAGAGTGGACATTCAATGCGACAAGCACAGTGTGTTGAAGGTCAACTGCATCCATCCTTGATTGTGGAGATGGTACCTGATTGATTGATTGCTGAGTATATCATTCCCACCCACTGTTTTTCCTGTTTATTTTGGTATATTACTTGCTACTGCAACCTGCCTCGGTGTGTAGATCCAGGTAAAAGAGGTGAGATGCAACTTAGAAATGTTCTGTGCACATCCAGAGCGGATACTGTCGGTCAGCGATTCTTGATAGCATGAGACCGTGTGGCTGGCTGCTCTGCTGCCCACGTGATTGCTCTGGACAGTTCGGGTTACTTTCATGGCGATGTGACTAAGCCTTTCCGTCTTCTGTTTTTTCTCCCCAATCTTGTCTGTTATATAACGGCAACGCTGACCTCAACCTTCTGTCTCATGTACATACAATCAACTCTGACACAGAGGACCTTCCATGCCATGATATAAAACCATCCAGAATCTATTCTGTCGGTCTCCATCTGCCTCTCCTTTCTTCTAACTTTTCTACGTCACGATGTGCTCCAGTTTTCTCCTTCTTATCACATGACCAAAGAATGTAGATTGTATCTTTCTGATGTGGGAAATCAGTTCTCTTAGTGAGTCAGTTTCTTGCAAGACGTCTTCATTACTTTTTATTTTTTTTTTTAAATCTGTCCAGGGTATTCTCATCATTTGTCTATAAAACCACACGTCAGCAGCTTCCAAGTAAGTGTTCACTAATTTACTAGCTGTCCATGATTGACATCCGGATATCAAAATAAGATTTATCTAGCTCATACGAATTCTATTTCTCGTCCTAATTAACGTATTGTCATATTAGGTCTTATATATCAGTGCCCAGCACATTGTCAACTATGAAACTCTTTTAACTACAGTGAAGAGGGGGAAAATCCAATGGTACGGTCAGGTAATAAGATCTAACGGCTGTTAAAACATACTACAGGGTTCAGTTGAGGGACAGGAAAGATGAGGCAGACCATGAAAGATGGAAACAGAACTTGACAAACTGTACAGGCCTTAGGAATGCATCCATGGAGTCTATCGCATCTGACCGTCAAAAGTGGCGGAAGCTGATCAGGCAGTCAACACAACTGGTGACCCAACGTTATGCAGTGCTACAGAATGATGATGATAAAGATGATGATACAGATAATGACAATGATACTGATGATGATATATCAGTGCTCACAGCACTGGAAATCGTCTCCAAAATGATCATAGCCTACAAATATTCATGCACATCTGCAGGTGTATCAGCTCAATCATCTTTGTTTTTAAGCTCGTCCAGGTAAACTTTTTGCTGAATAAAATTTTCAGCCACAGTGATACTTTTGTTCTTCTTGCCTTTCGGTTTCGTATGCTCAGTTTCATACCTTCAGGAGGGCAACATCTATTATATGAATTCGCATGTCAGCTGCAGATCCTCTTTGATCTCTCACAGTTTTCTCTGCACACAAGAGCGTATTCTGCAGGTCTGCCCATTATTCTTAAAATTATGAAGAGAAACCAGCGCCAAGAGACATCCTTTTGAAGAGGCGATGCCCTTGTGTCATGGCGACATTAGATACCTTGACATCTACTGAAACTCTTATGAACACTTGACATATGCACATGTAAGCACATTCTGGGGTAAGGAGGGATAAACTACAGATTTTCTGCCAAGTCAACTGTAGGCGCAGGAAAAGCAGTGGACCGAGTTAATGTTCTATATGCTCTCACAGTGGCAGGACGGGTTATGTGATTTAGGTAACAAAATAGGGAAGAGACAACCTTAATATGACTACATGAGCTTGATGTCAAAAGAGGTGCTGTTAGACGTGAACACAGTGAGTTAGCCAAAGATGTTAAGAAAACCAACAAAGAAAAAACCACAGACACTTAAGATGGGATCCGAGTGTTTATTAACTTGTCCGTGGTGAAGTGAGATGATCGGTCGATTAACTAACTGTGTTTCACCATGTCTATCTACGTCTTTCTGTCTCACGTCCTGTCAATCATTTCTGTTGCGAAAACCAACAACGATGTCAAACGGTACACTGTCCGTGGTGAAGTGAGGATGATCCCCCCCCCCCCTTCGAGTGTTTATTAACTTATGGATGATCGGTCGATTAACTAACTGTGTTTCACCATGTCTATCTACGTCTTTCTTTTATCTGCGTGTTTGTCTCAAACGGGTCCCATCTTCGTTTTATCTGTCTATCGTCTTGCGTTAAATACTCTTTTATTAAAATGTATTCCAGCTGTTCCCCTTGTGAAGGGGTGTCCAAATAATGTATATTAGCTCCTAGTGCTGATTACAACGGGAGTTATTTGTTTTATCTGACAACAGAGTCTCGTCATTTTGTCAAAGAAACAAAAGCTCCCACATGTCTACAACTTCCACATACTTTCTCACTAAAGGTGATTCATTCATTCATTCAGTAGCATGTCCCTCGCGGAACCTCGCTGCCATAACAACCCTCCGGAAAACCTTCCTATCATGAGCAAGATGTCCTGCGTCTGATACACCCATCTGGAGATCATCTGCCACATCCTGCACCCATCTTCTCCTTGGCCTTCCTCTTCCTCTCTTCCCAGGCATATACCCCTCCATTATTGTTCTCTCTAGACCTCCATGACGTTTCAAGTGACCAAAATATTTCAATTTTCTTTGTTTTATTGTCTTTACTAGCCAACCCTCTTCAATATTCAGCTCTTGAAGTATGGATGCATTTGTTCTTTTCTTTACCCAAGATATTCTTAGAACCTGTCTGTAACATTTATATTCAAATGCATTTATGCGCTGTTTCCGCTTGTTTAGTAAGTGTCCAGGTCTCACAGGCGTATGTTGCAATGGGAAAGATGCATGCTCTTAAAAATCTGACCTTTGTAATTCTATCTGTACAATTCCATAATTTATTCAGTTGTTTTAGTCTTTGAAGAGCAATTGATAGTCGCCGTTTAATTTCTTTCATTGTGTCACCATTGTTGGTAACCAGTGACCCAAGATATTCGAAATTTTCCACCACTTCCAATCTTTCCTCATTAACATATAAAAGGTGATTATCCTTAGTTAATTTCCAGGTATCAGATTTTGCTCAGTATAGCTCATAAGAAACCCCGTTGTCATATCATTTGATAAAGATATATTGTATATAATTTATTTTTTTTTTTTTTCCCCATCGTGTGAAATGCTTATTTTTCTTGTGCTATTTTTATTTTTATTTGTCCGCTCTTGAAATAGTGGTCGGTATATCGCAGTGTAGTTTATAGATATACTGTGACATCTGTGCTTTTCGGCCGAACACTTCCGGGTAAGGCAAATTCTAAATAAGTCACTTGTTTGTTACAAAATGCGTGTAAAGGAGCAGTCTGGTCTATCTCCCCTCCCAAGCCACTCCCACACGTTTTTTCCCAAATGGGGTCCCCGCAACCCACACGGGAAAACTTGAGTTTTTCAAGTTTTACTAACTTCTTTAATTCATTTTTAAAATGCATTCTGAAAAACTTTTTCAACGTTTTATATCCCTTTCTCTGACATATCAAGATAGTTATATTTCTATGCAAATACAGGTTGTACGTCCCCCCCCCTCCCCCCCCCCACCCCCACTTTTTTTTTTCTTTTTTCTTTTTTCTGTAAAAGCAGGTATGACTATTTTCAAATGGTGGAAAACACTGCCAGACACGAATGCATTAAAAGAAAAAGAAAACAGGGTATTGTACATTTGAGAACACTAGAAAGATAAGAACCCGTCACTACGTGACTTCCATGTGTCCATAACCTGATACCTGCATGTGACCTTGTTTTAGCTGATGGGAAATTCGCTGGTCAAAGCGCAACGGATTGTAACTTAAACTAGAGCTTGGTTTGTTTCATTTGGGAGTGCCTCGTATTAGCTGACTTTCAGGACAAGAAGCAGATTCTGTCATCAAACAGCATTCAAGTAAAAGTGTTCATGCATATATATTGTATATATATATATATATATATATATATATATATATATATATATATATATATATATATATATATATATAAAGAACTGTACCGAACATTCGCTTCGTATTCGATTCGGGGCCGAATAGTGGACCTAATGAGTATTCTGTATTCGGCCGAATACTTAACGTTTCTAAATGTTTACGATTCTGTACTACATTTTCTGAAGTAAAAGTTCAGCGTACATTTAACATTATGAATGTTTTGTTTTGGATCTATTTTATACATTATTCGTATTCGTATTCGGCAGAATAATTGGTCCAGTAATTCGTATTCGGTCGAATAGTGATAATCACCAATTCGGTGATTCCCCAACTGCCTCATATGCAATCCGGCGATTTGATAGTTTTACCAGTAAAATACACCATCTTATACAATCACCGTGATCATCATCATCATCATAAAAAATGTCCTGATATGTCATTATATAAACCTTGGATTTCGTATTCAATTCCGTTCAAGTCTGTGCAGTCAATTTAATATTATGAATGGAATCCAGCTCCATACCTCCGGCATCTCTCAGCAACGTTTTATATGATAAATTCACAAACAAGTAAGGGGAGAGATGACATGTCTTCGCTCCTTCCTTTAATTTCTCTGATTTGTTGTATTTAAAAAAAAAAACTATTTTGTATTTAAAAAAGCAGACATTACAGCTATCTACATATTATTGTTTTTACAGAGACAAAGGAGTTGTGTTGCTGTTGGTAAATCAGATAATTCATAATGGTTGAGATACTCTTTCAAAGTGGAACTTCAACATACCTTATACTGTCAGTTCTCTTAGCACTGACAGTATATGCAATCTTCCTCTGGTTGTTCAATAAAACAGTCAAAAATCTACCTCCTGGTCCCCGAGACTGGGCTACAACTTGGAAAATCATGAAAGCCACAAAGGAACAGACCATGCATGAGCTGGCTATAGAATGGGCACGACGATACGGACCACTGACCTTTATCACCTATTTGGGACAGAAGATTCTCTACCTGAATTCTGCAGACATAACTCGCCAACTTCTGGCATCTGATGAGTCGAAATTTTTGCTAGCCGACAGACCGGAGATTACCCCGTCAAAACTAGCTGCGTACAATGGCAAAGATTTGGTATTTTCTAAATATGACGGTAAGTAACATCGTTACTTTTTACTAGGTAAGAATGTGTAGTGAGTGAAACCTTTATGAATGTAGTTATAATGCACTTTGATATTTATAATGCTGAATTCTTGAGCGGGAGACCCAGGTTCGAATCCTCTGTAATAATACATTTTTCTTATGTCATAGGTTTAAAACTTAACGGAAAATTATCGGCCGCGGATGTCTGGCCAAAAAACGGAACCCGATGATCGGCCCGATCGTGTTTCGCCTCGAACCGCTAAGAATCTTCTATTTTGAAACACTGAAAGTCATTTAATTCATATTAACTGCTGTATTAGCCTTTACAAATGGCGACTTTCGAGTGTTTGGTAACGAAGTGAAAATTTTTGTTGAATTTTTTAGATAGTGACATGAACAAACGTCTGACTCGTGTTTCTGCGTGCAAGTGACTTTAAAGGTGTTGATACTGAGCAGGATTTAGTGTTAGTAGTAATAGTGGGAATCAGATGGGGAGTTCAGACCACAGCCCAAATCAGGGTATATGCACCCATGTTGACACTCGGCACACATTTCTTGTTGACTGAGTGTGAAAAACACATGTCACCTAAAGATATTAAGCTGGTAACTATTGAACTTATTTGCAAAAAGGCCAAAGATCAATAAAAAGATTTCAAATAAAAAAAAAATTTGTTTTTAGTTTTATGTTTCAAGCATTGAAGTTGAAAATTCAAATTCAAATTTTCTATTTTTAGATATGCAAAAGAGATAATTTGCATATACATCAATTAATTTTAACGATATTGTGAAAATCATGAACTTCAATCTATATCCTTCAAATAGATATATGATTTCATGGGAGTCAGAATAAAAGAAATCTGTCCAAAAAATTAAATAAAGTAATAAGCAAATTTACTGAATAAATGCTCCGTGTTTTTGGCTAGACCGTGCTAAAAGGGTAAAAAAAAATCCTTAATCACTCAAAACGTGGCGTCTGCATTAGCCACTCAGTTAAACAGAGGACAAACATTTTCCTGAGTGCACACAAACACTAGCACAGAAACTGTGACATAAAAAAAGTGTTTGCTAAGTGGTAACAACAGATGCAAATATAGTTGAACAATAGTTAGAAACAAATTACAAGTGCAGTCAACAAGATTTCTTAGCTATCGTAGTGTGATCGTTCTATTCCTGCTACATTTGACTGTGACATTCATCATGCTAAGAAACTAGTAGGAAATTTCTACACTTACCACTGCTCTATCTGGATGTGTGCTCTGCTGATTGCACAACTTTGTGGACGGCAGTGATTTCCATGTTTACCCATTAAAATTAAGTAAAATCATCGTCGTCGTCTTCTTCTTCTTCTTCTTCTTCTTCTTCTTCTTCTTCTTCTTCTTCTTCTTCTTCTTCTTCTTCTTCTTCTTCTTCTTCTTCTTCTTCTTCTTCTTCTTCTTCTTCTTCTTCTTCTTCTTCTTCTTCTTCTTCTTCTTCTTCTCTTCAACAAAACGCAAAAATGGACTATAAGATGCAAAATGTAAAAAAAGATTACGATACAAACATCTCAATTAAAAGCGAATGCTCTTGGTAAACACATAAAGGCGATCTACATTTTTTTTTTAAAATTTAGTCAGTCAGTTAGTCTTCCTCACCACTTCCTTCTCTTTTGATTTATTCATGTGTGTGTAAGTGTCTGTGTGTGAAGAGAGAGAGAGAGAGAGACAGACGGGCAAACATGACAGACAGACAGACAGACAGACAGACAGACAGACAGACAGACAGACAGACAGACAGACAGACAGACAGACAGACAGACAGACAGACAGACAGACAGACAGACAGACAGACAGACAGACAGACAGACAGACAGACAGACAGACAGACAGACAGACAGACAGACAGACAGACAGACAGACAGACAGACAGACAGACAGACAGACAGACAGACAGACAGACAGACAGACAGACAGACAGACAGACAGACAGACAGACAGACAGACAGACAGACAGACAGACAGACAGACAGACAGACAGACAGACAGACAGACAGACAGACAGAGTAAGAAGGGGAGAGATCGAGTTATAAGAACAATAAACATGACGAAAGAAAATAGTCCAGCATTAAAAAAAAATGTGGAAATGCCAAGTAATATTGTATAATCTCACCATCAGATTTCTTTACCATCTGTTACAATGCATTTTGTATTAACACTGCTTTTTGCTTCTAGCTATAATGAAAAAGAAGCGTAGACTGTTCCACAATGTTCTTCACCTCTATGGAGACGGGATAGAAAAGTTTGAGAACGTTGTTTCAGGCGAGATGGACAGACTCATGACGGAGCTTGAACAATTTGAAAATCAAGACATCGAATTCTGGAGGTATCTAGCCAGATCTTTGAAAATTGTAATCTACATTTTAGTAAGTATGTTAAACTATGATTGATGTTTTTCTCTTGTCATTAAGTGCACTTCCTGAATACTAATTTAATTAAACGATAGAAGATTATTGGACAAGAACGGACATTTTTAAATTCTAGTCAGTATTTCTATTGCAGATACACTGCAAGATAAAACTGTAGCGAACATCTACCCCTGTTATAAACAATATTGGTAGGTGTTTCGTCCTTCTTCTCTTCAAACCTCTGCTGAAGAACTGATATATTATGCGCCAAAGGTAAATTGTTTCAACAGTATTCTTACACCCGTTTAACAAGATACCGCGTGTTTCTGTTCCTGTCTAACTTAACCACAATGGGATTAAGGTCATATTTAACACTGCATAGGCGTATGTGGTTTAGGCGCTTTATAATGCCGAGGTGCCGGGTTTGATTCCAGCTGCAGACAATTTGTCAGTTGACCGCTTGCGTTGGTTTCGACAGTGGCATTGAGAGCCGGTTGTTGTGGTAAACTGCAGACAGTAAAATTGCCTAATAAACAGAAAAACAGCTAAACATTTCACGGCTGGTTTTGCAACGTCCTGTAAAGGACACACAGGTATTTTTGTTTTAAACTCTTCAGCAGACAGGAGTTGTGGTGTCCCAGGGGTTAGTGTGCTAGCCTACTGCAACAGTTATCTAGGTTCAATCCCTAGAAGTGATCAGATTGTGTCTTCTGCCTTTCTGTAGTTGACCTAACCTCGTAAAAATAAGTACTAGATCAAATAGGTGTCTCTGATTTGACTAGGACAAAAGGCTACGAACAACAACAACAACAACAACAAAAGTGTGCGCTATGGGTCTAGCTTTACCTTATGTCAGATAATGTTTAAGTTGGATTTGAAAGGGTGTGTTTAAATATTGCCTATTCCAATGTAAGGTTGTCGGCTTGTCGAGGGCGATGCTGATGTAAAAACTCCAAGGAGGATTTCCCGATGAAAACGGCCTGTAATATTACAAGCTCATTCTGTGGTGTTTGATCGAATGCTTCTCAGAACTTTGAAGGGGGAAACTCGTGGCCCTGGCAAGTTTATTCATGTAGGAGGGGTCATGAGAAGAAGGGTCAGACCACAACAGCATCTTGGTCTTACAGGATGTGTTGGGTTGGGCACAAAATTGACAACCCGTTACTGTTTTCGAAAAAAAATAAATGTACTTTGTAACAGAAAAAGGTGAAAATACTGTACCATCGGAAAAAAGTAGGAACAAATAGCCAGAAGGCGAAATGATGATTGGGGATCAAAGTCAAAAAGAAGTCAACAGCTGTCTTGAAACTTTGGCACTGAAACTCTGTAGTGGACGGTGGATGAAGAGGAAAGACTTGGTCAACCTGTAAATACCCGGAGAACAACAGTGGAAAGGGAAATGAAGTAAAGTCCCTTTTCCACGCCTTTAGTCGTATAGGGCATATAGGGCTAGACCTTTATTTGTATATACCAATAGGCACAAGATAGGTGATGTATTCAGCATCACACCAGCCGCCTTTATTTCCCGGGACTACACTCAGTACCCACTTAAGGCTGGGTCGACCTGGAAGCCAAGGTCATTTTTGAAAAAATGTCAAGCTTCGCCAGGGTGCGAACCCGCTCGGCCACTGCGACTCCTTTTTGTGAGTATCCTGTGTGTCAAAAGCGACACGTAGAGAACATCGTTGGATATATTATTACTTGTGCAGATATTACTCTTACTTTAAGGTAAACCTAACTGAGAGTGTGTGAGGGGGGGGGGGGTGGGTGGGGGGGGGGGGGTTTGTAGCAATATGTCAACATGCATGTGTGTTGGTCTGATATTTTCTAATATCTATCTTAGTGGACCATTTAAACACCAAAATGTTTGGTGGACCTAAATTTCTTGCACTTATAGCTTACACTATTCTTTCTTGCACTTATAGCTCACACTATTCTTTCTCGCATTTAAAGCTTACACTATTCATTCTTGCACCTATAGCTTACTCTATTCTTTCTTGCACTTATAGCTTACACTATTCTTTCTTGCACTTACAGCTTACATTATTCTTTCTTGCACTTATAGCTTACACTATTATTTTTTGCACTTATAGCTTACACTATTCTTTCTTGCACTTCTAGATAACACTATTCTTTCTTGCACTTATAGCTTACACTATTCCTTCTTGTACTTATAGCTTACACTATTCTTTCTTGTTCTTATAGCTAATACTATTTTTTCTTGCACTTATAGTTTACACTATTCTTTCTTGCACTTATAGCTTACACTATTCTTTCTTGCACTTATAGCTTACATTATTCTTTCTTGCACTTATAGCTTACACTATTCTTTCTTGCACTTATAGCTTACACTATTCTTTCCTGCACTTCTAGATAACACTATTCTTTCTTGCACTTATAGCTTACACTATTCTTTCTTGCACTTCTAGATAACACTATTCTTTCTTGCACTTATAGCTTACACTATTCTTACTTGTACTTATAGCTTACACTATTCTTTCTTGTTCTTATAGCTTATACTATTTTTTCTTGCACTTATAGTTTACACTATTCTTTCCTGCACTTATAGCTTACACTATTCTTTCTTGCACTTATAGCTTACATTATTCTTTCTTGCACTTATAGCTTACACTATTCTTTCTTGCACTTATAGCTTACACTATTCTTTCCTGCACTTCTAGATAACACTATTCTTTCTTGCACTTATAGCTTACACTATTCTTTCTTGTACTTATAGCTTACACTATTCTTTCTTGTTCTTATAGCTTATACTATTTTTTCTTGCAATTATAGCTTACACTATTCTTGCTTGTACTTATAGCTTACACTATTCTTTTTTGTTTTCATAGCTTACACTATTCTTTCTTGCACTTATAGCTTACACTATTCTTTCTTGCACTTATAGTTTACACTATTTTTTCTTGCACTTATAGCTTACATTATTCCTTCTTGTACTTATAGCTTACAATATTCTTTCTTGTACTTATAGCTTACACTATTCTTTCTTGCACTTATAGCTTACATTATTCTTTCTTGCACTTATAGCTTACACTATTCTTTCTTGTACTTGTAGCTTACACTATTCTTTCTTGCACTTATAGCTTACATTATTCTTTCTTGCACTTATAGCTTACACTATTCTTTCTTGTACTTATAGCTTACACTATTCTTTCTTGTACTTAAAGCTCACACTATTCTTTCTTGCACTTATAGCTTACACTGTTCTTTCTTGCACTTATAGCTTACACTATACTTTCTTGTACTTATAGCTTACACTATTCTTTCTTGCACTTATAGCTTTCACTATTCTTTCTTGCACTTATAGCTTTCACTATTCTTTCTAGTACTTATAGCTTACACTATTCTTTCTTGTACTTATAGCTTGCACTATTCTTTCTTGTACTTTTAGCTTACACTATTCTTTCTTGCACCTATAGCTTACACTATTCATTTTTGCACTTATAGCTACACTATTCTTTTTTGCACTTATAGCTTACAATATTCTTTCTTGTACTTATAGCTTACACTATTCTTTCTTGCACTTATAGCTTTCACTATTCTTTCTTGCACTTATAGCGTTCACTATTCTTTTTAATACTTATAGCTTACACTATTCTTTCTTGTACTTATAGCTTACACTATTCTTTCTTGTACTTATAGCTCACACTATTCTTTCTTGCACTTAAAGCTTACACTATTCTTTCTTGCACTTATAGCTTACACTATTTTTTCTTGTACTTATAGCTTTCACTATTCTTTCTTGCACTTATAGCTTTCACTATTCTTTCTTGCGCTTATAGCTTTCCCTATTCTTTCTAATACTTATAGCTTACACTATTATTTCTTGTACCTATAGCTTACACTATTCTTTCTTTTACTTTTAGCTTACACTATTATTTCTTGCACTTATAGCTTACACTATTTTTTCTTGCACTTATAGCTACACTATTCTTTCTTGCACTTATAGCTTACACTATTCTTTCTTGCACTTATAGCTTACACTATTCTTTCTTGCACTTATAGCTTACACTATTCTCTCCTTAGAGAACATGGGTTCCAGATAAACCTAGAGGCATCGCTGATCTACTGTTTGATATAGAGAACAAACCAGGCTATCAGTGGATGGAGGAGGATTCTCAGCACGCCATTGCTTTTCTGATGTCCCTGTTTTGGTCAGGTAAGCACAACATGAAATCAGTAGATGACTGCTACGTGAGATAATGCTAGACTTTGGTCTGTAGTCATGTTCGCCATCGCCATGGGCTGTAAGTTCCATGCCCCCCAAAAAGCGCCCTACGGAAAGGTGCCAATCAGTCGGTCTGTAGATAAGTGATAAAGGGAATAATGGTATACTGCGACTTCATCATCACTGTATATTGCATGCTTTGCTGTTATGAAGATTCTGATCATTCCATTCAGTTTTTGTTTTCTGTCCCCATCGTACACACTTTATGTCGTTACTTATAGTTTATTTTCAGGTTTGCCATCCGGTTAAGTATTCATGTACTAGAAACCTTAACAAGACAGGGAGTTTTCTTCTATTTACTATATTTCCCAGGTTCAATAATCTTAATATAATTACAAGACTATCTCTATATCCGAGCAGACAATGATTGCGACAGTAACCATATTAGACACGTGCAATTTCTAACTTCTTTCTTTTCCATTTAGCTAAACTATGCCACAGCAACGCGTAACCGATCACAGCTAGTATAAAATGGAAAAGATAGAAATTATAAATATATATACAATGACATCCCTGTCCATCCTGACTAAAATGGGGAGCAGGAATTGTAATAGGTAGTAAATGGGGCTAGTGTAATGTTTACCACACCATCCTTCAAGTACCAGTACAACTACTACCACCAACTCCACTACAATAGCTAAAATAATGTCACTGCTTTCTATTTTACCATCGGAGTAGACAGAGAGTCGTGAGCCAGAAGATTTAGCGCCGCATGGCTAGTACTGTCGCCACGGACTGGTCAGGTTAGGATGTATAATTTCGCTCCCCGACAGAAGAACGCCATAACCTTACCGGCGATCTCCGACATGACAGCACTACGATGTAACCGCCCAATCACAACTACTACTACTGCTACTTTGAGTGGGTAAGGCAGTTACTTTGACTTAAAGCTCTTTCAGTTACCAGTTTATGCTACCCCCCCCCCCTTCCCCCCCCTTCCCCATCCCCATTCCTAATTCACCGACTACTCTTTCCTTCATCAAGGTAGTTAGTAGAAAAAAAAAACCAAGTGAAATGCAACGAAAAAAAAAAAAAAAAATATACACCATAATTACGAAATGAACGCTATGATAAACAACAGAGCCTAATTCCAACGCAATGTCAGAAGAAATAATTAAATCGAAATGAAAACAAATGGAAATCTATAAAAATTCAGCGTAACCATGCATTCTGAAAGTTTGAAATGAAATCTTTGAAATGAAATCTTAAGTATGCAAAATGGTCAATTTTAATTATCAGCTGGTTTACCCACATACCTGTATTTTTTTTTTAAATAGTATTTATGGCTAGTGCTGTCGCCCCGACAGAGCATTTCTGGGTTTTATTTTGCCCAGGGTAAAAAAAAAAGGAAACTGCCGTATTGGGGATTCGAACCCTAGTCTCCCGCACGGAAACCTATTGTACTAACCATTCGGCCAGCCAACCACTGCTTCTAAACAACGAAAAGAAAACAAAACTACGCAAGATGTGTTTCCCGATTCTAACACAACTCAAAACCGCAGGCAATTGTTTTCTTATAAACAGATATCCCAGATATAAACAGCAAGTATTATTGAAACGGCACAATAATGGTAATTGTACGTGTCTAACACGGTAAATGTCGCAATCATTTTCTGCGCAATTATAGATCCCCCCCCCCCCCTTTTCGCCCTTCTCTTCCCCTTTCTAAAATCCACCGACTACTCTCTAACTCATCGAAGGTTGTTTGAAAATAAAGAATATAGAAATCGTGTCTAATATGTTTAACGGCGCAATCAGCGATATAGAGATAGTCTGCTGTACGGGCGGATGTTAAAAATAGAGCGTCCCGTGTCTACTGCGCATGCAATTAAAGGACCTTTTTCACGCTTTCTGACATATTAGGCATATAGGGCTAGGTCTAATTTGTATAGACCAATCGGCTCGTAGTCGGTGATGTGGACAGCATCACGCCAACTGCCTTTACTTCTCATTACTTTTACCTGGTACCCATTTAAGTCTGGGTCGACCTGGGAGCCAAAGTCATTTTAGAAAAGTCCAGCACCACCAGATTTGAACCCACGACCTTCAAATCCGCTAGCAAGAGTCTAGCCACTACACACCGGCGGCTACCAATCTTAAAATAGTTACCAGTAAATATAAAATTCTATACTCCCCAACACACGATGAAACATTCCATACCTTCACTTTACTTATTCTGTCCAGAGTGTCATGTATCTGCAATGGACGAAGCAACGAGCTTGCAGATATCTTTTCATTTGTCTGGCTATTCCTAACCAATACTATTAACCTAATTTTTTTTTTTTCAAAGAAACACCACATCTTAAAAGCCATGCTCGTTTTTAATAGAACTGCCTCCCTCCCCTCCTTTCATATCACTAAAATCTACACCTCACAGTGTGGGCTCAAGTGCTCCATTTTTAAGATCAAAGAGTAGACTACTGGCTTCCTAACAAGCATGTCGTAGCAGGCAACTAATTAGGGGTACCTGAGAGGCCAGGAACCGACAGTCTGCATACAAATAGGCCAGATCTGTCAAATAGATGTGCATGTAACTCGCGTGTTCCGGAACAAGACTAAAAATATAGAGATGGACGAAGAGCCAGACATTGATATCAGAATTTAACAGCCGGTAAACGCAGAGAAGAAAAAGAAAAAGTTCGAAAATGTAGAGGTCTAAGACTGCTCATTCCAAAAGTGTGGTATCTGCTTCTGGGACTGACCCTATTCCTTTTTGTGATATTAGTCAACTATGAATGCCAACCTTAATACAAGGGGAAGCCAACATCTATATCTATCTATATCCTCTTCATATCGATGTTGACACTTAAGGCATTCACTAGTAATCTCCATTGCTGCCGGATTGCTGCTTTTGTGTCCATGGTATCCCATGTCATTTTCCATTCCTTTATTTCCCGTTCTATTGTCCTTTTCCAGGTTTCCTTAGGTCGTCCCCGTCTCCTTTTCCCATCTGCTGTCCACCGGAGAGCTGTTTCTGCCAGAGTGTC